TTAACCTTCTCTCTAATCCCAAGCTATTCCAAGCGTCGATTCCTTCCACACTCACACCTTGATCTCGTTCGTCCTGATCTTTCCAGATTGTTGAAGCGACACGCTTTATAATTAATTAAAAACTGAAAAAAATTAATTAATCAACATTTCGAACGTAGCATTGGCATTAATTAAAATAATAAAAGAAATGTTGTCAATTGCAGGTTATAAATAAAGATTAACAAATTTATTACCAATGATTGTCACAAAACATCATAAAAGGAATAAGGAAAATTCGTTTCATTCGATCAATAAATTATTCATCCACGTATATATTAGTACGTATATAAATATCAGTGGGTGAATCATGAGAAAATTGACGTGCACGTGTTAATTTCATATTATCAGAAAAATACTTATCAATTGCGAGTATTAATAACTTGGTGAGGGGCGTGTAATTGATTATGGGGAACTGGTATCTCGTCGAATTAATTATTGTAACTTGGTAATATTAATTATTAAATATTCTGTTTACACCTTTTTGAAAAAAAAAATAAATTTTATTATTATAACAAATACAATAATGTTAATGTATCATATAAATTAAAACTGTCATTTGAATTTTAGAATTTTTTAGGAAAGGAGAATTCTAGAAGATTCATTCGCTTAAAGAATTTACAAAAAAAATTTTAATATTTGCAATATTTAAAAAAAAAATAGTCGAAGAAAATTAGACATAGGAGCATTAAATAGGTAGGTAAAATAATAAATGATCGACGGCGCGTAGCCTGGAAACGAGTTGCACAACAAACAGACACAAGATATCGTCGATATTGCCAACAAAAATCCCACGGGATCCGAAACGTATTCACCCGAAACGGAATCCATCGAAGTTTCGAACGAAATCGACCGAATAACTCTGTTCCCAACGACGAGAAGAGTTTCTGCTTGTGGAAAATTAGATTTGCAAGATTTATCAAGACGGCCTCTTTATCGTGTATTTTTTCTATGAAAAAGATTTCCAAATAAAATAAAATAATATATAATTGGATTTAACGTAAAATATGTATTATATATCTATTTTAAAAAAATATAAAATCTGTAGAAAATAGAATTCTTATTACTCAAATATATGAATATTAGGAATACTCGTTGTAAGAAATTTCGCTTCGAAAAGCGGATATGACTAATTCAGATTTTTATCCATATTTGAATTTGAGTAATTGGATTTTAAAATTTTTTTTTTCTTTTATAATCTCTCGAGTATGAAGTTTTCCTTTCCCCATATATTCGAATTCTGATTAAAAGGATCAAATTTGAGTAAATTCGTTGCAAGGTTATAATATTTCGATATTTGATATAGAATTAATTTAATTAATATTACACATCGATTTTAAATACTGAAGCAAATAATTTATTATTAATTCGAGTCTCAAGATTAATAAGTCATTTGCTCGAAGGAAGCTTTTAAAGAGTTTTACATTATTGAATTGGATATTTTGAATATTTTCAAACTATGTAATTTTTAACATAATATTTATTAAAATAATTTTAATACAATTAAATATATAATTTAATACATATTAGTACAAAACAATTTTATATAGTATTTTTAAATCCGACACGCAATATAATTATTTATATATATATTTACTTATAACTTACTCGTTATCTCATCATTTTATTATAAATTAAACTTAATGAACGACTTATGCTAATAAAGTAATCAAATTTTAATTTAAAAAGCGATTGTATATAATTAGCTAATGAATTACATTAAAAATATTATTTAATCTTATTAAATACCATAATAATATACATTAAAATATTACATAAACAATATTAAAATACGATTTTATAAATATTCTTTTATCTATCGTTCCTGAAATAAATTAAAATGAATAAAATTAACATTTGATAACTACTTAATAATAATACAAAAATTGCAAGTTCTAGAGGAAATGTTAATGCATGTTAATGTATATCTATCTTTACATTTTTAATCAAAATATAATTAATGATAAAATTTAACATGTTTTGAAAATCATTGAAAAAAAAGTAATATTGACTTTTTTCAATAAAATAACATTACGATATTCGAATAAATATTCATTTTTCGATATTTCGCCTCTATAACTAACAAAGAAACTTTTTTTTCTCGCGTATTGCAACGTTTTATTAAAAANTTTTATTAAAAAAAAAAAAAAAAGAAAAAAAAATCACGATATCGAGGTTACAATCGACGCTTGATATTTTTTAATAACGTCAATAAGATACCGAGAAAGCGTGAAATCTACTATAGAATGCAATGTGGCAATAAACTGGAGTTACATAAACGAATATGAAATAAGTTTACACCAATGATAATGTTAGTAATAAAAAAATTCTATTTCTGTCTTGCAAATATATATATAAATTATTTGTAACTTAATAAATAAATCAAGACAGATATTCTCGTGTATCAATTGTATTTATTTTTTATTCTTTAAAAATCAAACCTTCAAAAGTTTTATTGTTATTGCCCCACAATTTTTTTATTGTTGTAATTTTTCATGCGAAAACAAAGAAAGAACCGGCTCTCTTTTTCATTTTTATTTTTTAATTGTATCATTAAGAGTGGTGTTTATGCAAGTAATTCATATTTGTGGCTGTGATAAAATGCACTGGTACACATGGCGTAACGAAATACGAAACAAGATACAAAGCAACGTTGCTTTTGTTTCCATCATTCAAAATTCACGTGGTGTGTTATATCCTGTAACAGGGTACATTATAAGTTATAATAAACAGTCACATCTCGTTTAACGAAACTCTTATTCACGAGTGTGGGGGTATTCGCGTGCTTTCAGAATTTTGCAGGTTTGAAAAACTTCAAACACTTTGCACGGATTAACGCAAGGATTGTTTTTTAAGCTTCAAAAAGGGAAATAATTGCTTCATGGTTGGTAAACATGGCGAGTTGGCATGAAAATATTCTTAAAATTGTTTGGAAAAAGAAAAAAAAAAAAGAATTAAATAATTAAAGAATCTTTGGAAATCTTTTTAATATTAAAATTAAAATTAGGGGTGAAATATATACGCAGTTTTGTCTCAAAAATTTTCTTGATAAAATAAAATTTAACAATTTTATGTTATTTTATGGCATTCCTTTTGATAATTGTGCTTCAAAATTCATTTTTATTTAATCATTAATATTAAATTAATCGCAAGAGAAAAATATTTGTACAAATCGAATATACAATGGCATGTAACATTTGCATAAAGAAATAAATAATTTTCAGTTGAATAATTTGTTTTTGACTACAGTAAATGTTTTCTAACTTCCGGCTATCTGGAATGATAATTTTAAACACCATATTTGCAACGAGCCCGAAGCTAAGCGGTTTTTAATTTATAATTGTTCTGAAATTTTATATAATTAAAAAGAAAAATTAAATATCATTAATAACAATTATTTCCAGATCGTTATTATAAATAGATTAAAAATGAAATTATAAATTATCAAAGAATATTGAAATTTCTGAAAATATTGATTGTCATAAATTATTAAATTATACAATTATTAATTTAACAGAATCGACGTAGATAAGAATATAATAAATTTTATAATATTATCTTTCATTTTTCTTATAATTTTATTAAATCCATGATATTATAAATTCATATGATATAAATCTTTTTAATTTGCATTTATTATTGTAATAAATTTGTAATCATTTGTAATCACAGGTTTTTACAACATGTGAAATGTTTCAATTCTCCTTTTTTAATATCAAATACCGAGCAAGGATCGTAAGTGAAAGCTTAATTTGTTTTGCAAATTGCTCGAATTGCTTTTCCTTTACAACTTGCGGTCCAGAATCGATTTCTCATGGGAAAAGAGGATTGCAATCCCTTTAATCAAATAAAATCTCATCAATTTGATTCAATTTGATTTATTGAGAACTCGAACGTACATTTATCTTGACAATTTCATGTAATCTTAAGAGGTAAGATAAATATAAATTTATATTGTGATAAAATCGTAAAATAAAACTTTTATTTAAGACAATATGTATATTGTTTTAAATCATTTACATTTACCAGGAAAATAAAAGAATAGTTTTTCTTTTTTTTTTTCTTTTTCTCTTTCTTATTTCCATTATTAATTCTATTCATAATAGCATTGTAATGTATATTTCAAAAGTACACGATAAAAATATGTAGTTAAAAGAATATAATATATATCTTATGAAGAAACGAATTTCATTCATTCAATTTTATTATCTAATTTTTTGTTCAATATTACTTGTTTCTTCATTTAATTTGCTGTATGAAGTTGCTATTTTACTATCATTAATATGGAAAAACGATCAAATGATACGAAGAATAATAAAAAGAAAAGATAAACAGCAAAAGCGGGTAAATAGCAGTTCCTCAAAAAATTCGTATATAAATCATCTTAATTCATCAAACTTGTATCACTGTTTTTTCGATAATTATTTAAATAAACATTTTATTTCATTGCTGTATCATATTAATGTATCATCTAGATTTCGTATTTATTAATAATCTCTGAAATGAAAAATTGGAGCTAAAAATATTAGAATAGAAATTAAACTTTGTTACAGCATGTATTTAATCCGTAAAATGGAGTTATTAAATCCGTGGCAAAGACTGTAACGTGACATTGTAAAGCAAAAGATTAAAAAGGAAACTAAACTTTCTCCTAAGTAAATTTTTACTATCAATAAGAATTTTATAAATATTTAAGTAAGATAAATCGAATATAAATAAAATTATCAATTCGTTTTTTTATTTTGTCCATTCAAAATTTTGAAATCTAATTCGAATTTTTTAATCCCAATACAATTCAGAAATCACTATTATCCGTAACTGCTATCACAAGTTTGCGATCGGCAAGCGCTTGTTCGACGCGCTGTTGCGCATGCGCGGACGCATACCGACGCAAGAATCCGTGCCACTGATTGGTAGACGGTCAGACGCTCCGAAACACCAAGTATACGTGCACGACTCGCATAGTCAGTCTCGCGCCGAGCGTTGTATAGTGCGCTTTGTTGGAAATAATATCGTTCGTGGTTCGGATTTGTGTATTTGAAAATTTTCGAGAACTCGAAATATATCACGATATTAACGTGTGTAGGTGACAGACAATCAAAGTGATATTTCTCGTGTCGAAGAGACAAAAAGCAACAAATCGTTAATTCGTTTGCATCCAGCGATCACAAACGTTCGAAGGTTAGCATTCCCTGTTTTTATAAAGGTTCTTGAAAATTGTGAAAAGAAATTGTGCAATCGAACTAAAACCGCGAACGCGGTTTTTTTCGCTTTTTCGATCTCTCGATTCCCATCTCGTATTGTTTTTATCTTACGAAATTTTAATTACTTTTGTTATTATTTCAGAATTGCTTATCATTATCATGATTGACAAGTGTGTTTATGTTTTAAAACTATTTTAGAATAATATTCTTAATTATTTGGAGGATTGTTGTTTAATATTTTATTTAATTAATTTTAAAGAGATTTTGAAAATATATTTCTCCTAATTTTAATTTCTTGTCATGTGTAACATATATTGGAGGACGATTAAACCGTAAGAGAAAACAAAAACTTTCTATTACGTTTGCGGAAACAAGTAATTTATATGTAATTATTATTTTTTTTATATAATCTAATCGTTAATTTTATTTACTATATAACAAATAAATCTCTAATATTGTAATACTTAATATAATTGAATATATTACTATAATATAATAAAAAAGACATTTTACGTATTATATTATACCAACTATAATAATTATATGTATTTACTAAATATCCTCCTGTAACAATACTCAATAGCAATACACACAATATAATATAATTATTACATACAAGTTTTAAATAACATACAGTGAATTATTTTAATATAATCTAACATTGTGCATTACTTATAATATTTTATATATAAAATAAAATATAATAATACACAATATTAGATTTGTATTACGATATGTATTTCGTATATTATAACGCATATATATTCGCAATTGTTATAACAATTTTCTTGAATCTTCTTCTTCCCTCTTGATGTTTTTTTCGCGTTAATGGTTTTTCGCGCTGTTAGTCGGTATTTTCCTCGTCAAGGAAAATCGAGACTTCTCTCTATAGGTAACTTGTTAGCCTGAAATCCAACGCTCGACTAACTCGGTCGAATATATACGACTGACAATCAGTCGATGCAATTCCGTCCAATTCAACCGTCGATTGCGACAAACTTCGATAATTAAGCCGCTTGTCCGTCAAACTTGCTCGTCGAACGTTCGTATAATAACAACGAAATAATAATAACTTTTCACGACGATCTCGTTCAATGGACACGCGTGTACCGACGAAAGGAGAGTTTACCTTAACGTTGCGGTTAGCTGAGTAAGAAATTTGCGGATTTAAATGGGCCGCGGTGCAACAAGTCTCCTCGAAAGAAGAAGAACTTTCCTTCTCGACACGCTTACGCGATTATCGCTGACTAATTATATCGAGGGGAAAAAAAATACCGTTTTGGAAACGGTAATTTCACAAAGAACATAACACACAAACGTGTATATACGTGTATATTTATAATGGGCTTGTAATGGTTAATAGTAATCGTGCGTTCGTTGAGAATGAAACGTTTGATCGAATAATGGTGTATTTTGTATACGATTATTTATCTGGTACGTTGAAAAGGATTCGATAAATCGATAAATAATCTTGGCTAATTGATGTGTAATAAATTGTTACGGCTAATGGATAGATAGCATTAAGTGTTTTTTCGAAATAGAATGCTTCGTTGTGTATTTATTATTTATTGTAGTTTGTAATTATTGTAGGAGAAGGAAATTTTTAGAAATATTTTTAGATAAATGGTATTGAAATGTAAAAATGTTAAAATTCATTTTTTTTTGTGTTATATCAATTAAAGAGAAAAATTTTATTGGATTGAATATGATTTATCAATTTCAATTAATATTAAATGACATTAATTTATTGATAATGTCGATTATAATATACTGATAGACGTATCTATTTATTTATTATTATTATTTTTTTTTGATATTTATTGTGTTCTATGACAAATTGTTAATCTATCGAATAATAGCATGATTTTACAATCGTTAATCAAAATAATTTATTATCATTGAAAGAAGAAATTTTTAAAAAATTGTTTATTATGAATAAATTAAATTAAATCACTTGTTAATTTTGTAATCAAAATATTACTTTCTATAAACTAAAGTAAGTAAATTACGAAAAGATTTTTAATCATTGACGAATAATTTCATTAGGATAGCTTAGTTTTTATACATCAATACTTGGAATTCTTTTCAATTAAACCTATTTAATAATAGTTATTTAACTTAAAATTATTCATAGTTTCACAGTTTGATTTACAGAGAATTAAATGATAAATAATTTCCAATCTTTCTCTCGTATTGTCTTACATTGAAATAATGTATTTTTATTTTTATTATTATTGCAGAATTATGTTTAATTCGCAAGAAATTTTGTTTATTTGTTTGTTTTAATCGTTTATAAAAATGTTATAAAATTATATTCCTGGATAATTTTCTAAACTCATATGAATGAATTATGCATTATGAATTATCGCAATTCGACGATAAAGTCGTGGATGCAAACGAATTAAAAGGAGGAAATTTGATAGATCGAGACGGAAGGACATTAGAAGACAAACTGCGTAAATGAGAGAACGCGTCGCCATGGGTACCGTGTGTTGTGGTCCGCGCGTGTAGTGCAAACCCCGTGATCGAAGGGAAGAGACGGTGAGATGAACAGAGACAAGCTAACGGGATAACAAGGAGGGAAGAGTGAAAGGTCCGGGAGAAAGAAGGAAGATATAGAACGCGTGGACAAGCGTGACCGGCAAGAGTTCGAAAGACTACTCTCTCGTGGCGTTGAAGAGAGGGCAGCAGAATCGGCGAGAGAAAGAGGAAGAATAATGCGGTCTCGTTGTTTCCGCCTTGATCAACAGGACGTTCGGATCTGCTCGTAGTAAGTAGAAGCAAAAAAAAAAAATTAATTTTCTTCGAACTCTTGGATTTTTGTTTGCAGCTTGTTTTCGTGGTAAGTTTGCTATAATTTGTGTGGGATTGTTCGACCGATCGATATCCATATTTGCATCGATTGTGCGATTATTTACATCGACGGATGACGAACAATTCGAATATTAGATTAATGAAAAGGGAATAAGCAAACTTTTGGGATTTCGTTAAACGAGAATCCAGAGATTCAGGTAAAAAGTCATCGAACCCAGCTCCTGATGCAAAGATGGTGGAACGTAAAGATGGGTTCCTCGGTCGAAAGTGTTGAAAAACAAGGTAGAAACTGCGAGAGCAGTTAACCACAAAGTTAACCTCGAGTATCGTGGAAAAAGAAGTGGACGGCTATAAGTGGTCCTGGTGTATTCAAGGATGTTTCGAGCAGGGTCTAGTCGGTCAATAGAAAGTACAATACAGGCCGTGACAAGTTACTATAAACCGTTACAACATGGACTCGTTCGTTCGAACATCTATTTGCGCATCGTCTTTATGATCAATAGGATTCATTTAAATACGCGAAACATTCGACGTTATATTAACACCGTCAAAGAAACTTTATTAATATTTATATTTGCAAAAATTACTTTTATGATGATAAATCCCAGAATTTTTTTTCATTTATTGGCAATAAACTAAGATACAATCAGTGGCGTTTATCGCGAAATAATATCCAATTTTTAGACTTAAAGGACTGTGAAAAATCAGCGTCTAAAAGGCAAAGAAACTTCTTTATTGAAATACCGTATGAAGAGAGTCGTCAAATTAGCGTAATTGGATTAATTCAAGTTTATGCGTTGAATGCCGCGTTAGGAAAAACGAAGCTTTATCAAAGTAGCAATTTCTTTGATGAAACTCCACCTGCCATGGTCGAGTGCCATGTACGAGAGGAAAAGAAAATATAAAAAATCTTTTATACGGTTTGTACTTCTAAAGATGAATTTTGATTCTAGAGTAGTTCCATCTAAAGTTGCTCGTTTACTTAATTAATGTCTTGACACGAGATGTAAAAAGAAATGTTTCGGTACTTATTGTTGCAGATATTATGAGAAATAAAATTTGTTAATTAATCTATCACGAAGAATTTAACGTATCTAAAAATGTTTCAAAATTTTTATAAAGAGTAATTTAATTTTTTTTTTTTATATATATATTTTGAAGAGTATTTAAAAATATGTATTGAAATTTCGTTTGTTTGTTTGTTTAATTTATAAAATACAATCAAAGATATTTTGATAATTTGTAAAAATTGAAAATATATCAAGAAATTTTCTAACTATTTTGAAATACTATTTTAATTTCGTTCATTAAAGTTTTCATTCACATCTTGTAGAAATTATATATTTCTATAACCGAAAACAATACGATAAAAACAATTGAGAATTTTAGCGACCTTCTAATTTTTCAAGAAATGAAATTTCCGCGAATCCTTGAGATATAACTGAAATCTTAGAGTCGCAAATCTAATTATAAAACGTTAATCCGAAGGTGAATCGGCTTAATTAAATCAGCAGCAGTTTACAAATAGCGAATTTGCTAATTTTTGACATTTTAAATATATTCAATACATTTCTTTAAAAACTTGATTCTTATTTATTTTTAAAAAATTGTTTATAAATAATTAAATGTGGAAAGATAATTTTTTAGTAGGTTATGGAAAAAACACTAAAAACATAAGTAATTTTTTATTTGTCAAAAGTTGTATATTCTATATATAAAATTAATTGCTTTTAAAAAAACAATAAATCAAAAACGAGTTTTCAATACTATCGAACACCAATAAATTAACATTTTTTTTTTCTTTTTTTTACGATTAAAGAAACGTAACATGAAGAACAAAAAAGATAATTTTTTCCATGGCATTATAATTTTCTCAAAACGTGACAAGGCATTAAAGAATTCTCCTATTTTTCTCATATGCCACGCGATACAAGAAAAAATAATGAGAAACATATTTCAGTAAAATTTATTACGAAATTAAGATATATTATATTTGTCATGTAAGTATTCAAAGATTGAAATCAATTATCAAATATTTTTCATTCAATACAATGCTTTATAATTTTTATTATTTTATCATTTTAGAGTATACACGATCTATTAAAATATACATATATTTTTAAAATAAATTATTTTTACAGTATTTGATATTCTATCAAGAATGAAAAGAATAATAAAAATTGATAAGTAAGAACAAATTAATTTCAATTACAACTTATGAGAAAAATAAAATTGTAAGTAATTGCCGAGATGAAACTTCTTTTATGAAAATAGTTTTCATGGAATTGAGCAAAAATTACCAACCTTGAAACTCTGTAACTCTTTTTCTAACAATTTCAAGGTAACAAGGAAAATGATGAATTAAACTTTTTTAAACTATTTTCGCGTGAATTAGAATATATTTCAATTTCAACAAAATCCCGTCGTATAAAAAATGATCGATGCGATGTGAAAATGGCTCGCTAGCAATGCAGTTTAAAACTAAAATAAAGTTTTCTAACCAGGTATAATCGTATTTATATTTAGAATAAAAATTGAATCGAAACTCTGATAATTATAATAATTTAATAATATTTATAATATCAAGAAAGGAATTAACATTTCTAGCTATTATCCTATTAACCAACAAACAAATTCTTAATTATTTGCCTTATTAATCGCCCTTTTTAAACATTATTTACAAATATTAATTGACATTAAATATTTATATACTTGGTTTTAAAAATTTGATAAAATTTTAATAAAAACACTTTGGAATACTTTCGTTCCATATTAACCGGGAAACACAATTAATATGTGTGTGTATTATGGAAACAATTGAGCTCGTTTTGGATTAATCGATGTTGGACGACGAGTTGCATGCAAACGATCAGACACGGATTCGTGAGCGTGTAAATGACGTTAGAAAGTTGCGAAAGAAGCAGCTGACTCATCCACCAAGTGCTTTTTCTCATCGTTGCGGAAACCGTGGTCATGCACATATGCATGGAACCGAGAAGAAAATACAGGATGGCCCGCAATAGTGGTATAGACACAACCGGAAAAGGGGTGAATCTTCATTAAAAAAAGTAAAATAAAATTCTTATACGAGCCTATATTTATTATCATTTCAATTTTTAAATTTTAGGAATTAAATATTCGTTAATGATTCATTGTAGAATGATTCATTGTAGATTTAAACATGTTTATGAAAATTTTAATTCTTACGAATTCTTATCTTATCTTTTTTAATCGTGGCAATTTCCAATACTTAAATACAAAAACCATGTTATCCAACGAATGGAAAAATAAGTAATTATATCATTTTGTTTTTAATATCATTGTATAGAATTTGCGTGTTAGTAATTTTCTACTCGTTGTACATTGTATCAACTGAAATCCTTTTTTTTTTTTTCTTCTTTTATTCTTCGTTTCACGTTTATCAGATTACAATTACTTTATCAGTGATATCAAAGCTGTTCGATGGATCAAATTCTCGAAGCTTACTTTGATAAAATTTCATCCAAGTAATTAGCTCAGATATTATAATTAATACTTTTAATTTTGTTTTAACATAATTGAAACATGTTCGCAATTATAATTTCGAGTTTAAATATTTATACGAGTATAAATAATAGTAAGAAAACAAGAAAAATTTAACGTTGTAAGATATTTCATATTGATTGACAGTCTATATATAAACAACTATTTGCGATAACAATAACAAGAAAAAGAATACTCGATAAGGTTTATCTGGTTGTGAGTCATATGAATGAGGTAACATGTAAATTGTTTAGGAATATAAAAAATGATGTTAAGTACCGTTTTTAGATAAAGAAATTTTTATCTGATTAATCGATCAGGAAATATCTATATAACAATATCTATATAAAATTTCAAAAAATTAATCAGATATATTTTATTTCTCGTACATTGTTCATCTTAAACAAGATATTTTAATTAAAATGCAGATATAAAACAGATGTCAACTAAATGACAGTACGCAAAGTATAAAATAAATTTTTGTTATTCGTCTAACTAATGATCGTGACATATATAAAAATTATTGGAGAGGCAGAGGCAGAGGACAAGAGGCAGAGATCGTCTAGATTAATTTTTTTCTCGGATGCTGTTACTCGTTGTAATCGGACCGAAAAGTTACGGTATCTGATAATGTGTTGATGTTCACACGTAGAAAGAAAGTTAAATTTATATAGTTATACACGGAAAATACCGTTTTAATCTCCTTTGATAAAAATCTTTGACTGAGTTCTTCGACGAATGCAAGATTTTATCCGCAATGGGATTATTTCTCCGTATGAATAGATACATTTTTATTTTTAATGTAAAAAAAAAAAAAAAAGGAATTTTATAGAAAATACACTGCATCACACTACATTTTCAATATAGAAAGTAGTTAACGTATGGAATTATGATTCAATACGTTTTTAATAAAATTTCAATATTCTTTATCCTTCATCTTCCTAATATTTTTTAAATACAATTGTTTTCTTTCTTTCTTTCTTTGTTTACAAAAAAAAAGTAATTTTTAATACAGAATGTAATTACTTAAAAATCTAATAATTCTTAATTAATATAAATCGGTGATATCACATTGAGATAGCTCATAAATTCAGAATTCACGAGCTAATATTTTTGAGAAAATTCTACAGTTATGAAGGATGATGCGTCAGCGCGAAGCAATGCACGGAATGAACTCTTTGTCATCCTTTACGATCCTCCGCTATTATATCTTAACCGCAGAATTATTTGATAACGATCCATGAAATATTTAATTTATAAGGTAAATAAAAGAAAAAAAATAAAAAAACGATTCGGTTAACTTACAACATGTATGATAAATCTAATAATCAATCTAAATAATCAACATCTGTAAATTTCCTAACAAATCGACAAAATCGACAGAGGAAAAGAAATATGTCGACGAGAAATATTATTCAAAAAAGAAAAAAAAGA